ACGCTCTTCCGATCTCCCCAAAACCCCAAAACCCCACTGTGAAAAATAAAACAAAAATGCTGTTTGAATTTGAATTTAAATTGATAAGTAATGACTTAATTCTCTAAGTAATTTTTTTATGCAATACCTAAGTTGTCTTGATCAATTAGGCTTACTTTGATTTTCAATGTTTTCTAGTTCATTTTCCTTATTCTTATCTCCTTGTATTTCCAAGGCTTACATAGTACATACCTAAAATTGTAATGCAACATCCTAGACCTGAAAGAACTCCTGGAATTTTATCAAGTCCTAAGATACATCCAAAGATTTGAGCGAAAAATGGCTCGACTAAATAGGCAGTGCACATTACTAAAGGCGAAAATTCTTTGACAAGAAATCCAAGTAAAAAGAAGCAAACAAATCCAGCCACGAATCCAAGATTTATAAATGCAAACTAAACATTTTAGGGGTGTAAGAATCCAAATACACCAGTGTATGGATCCATACTTAATGTGAAATTAGGCATAATCAGACATCCAAAAGTGTTCGCACAGACAGAGGCAAATACAAAAATTATTAGCATCAAAGTAAAAGGTGGGACTATTTCAGCATATTTACCTTGGAAGCTAAAGTAGAGAGCCAAAAATATTGATGAGAAAGCTGCAATAATATCTCCAAGAAGAATATTCTATTTTGTCGCATCTATCTTTGCCGCTGATCCATCAAATAGTGCTATTCCACAACCAACTAGTGATAAAACAGTTCCAATCATTTCATACTTATGAACAAAGAGGCCTTAGATAATGCAGTAGATAACAATAAAAGCTCCTCCTAGTCCTCCAAACAAACAAGTATGCCCTATAATTGTATATTCAGCACTCCAAATATAGCCAAGCGACATGCAATTAGATACTATCCCAAGCAATATCATTTGTATGAAATTTTATCTTAGAAATTTGAAAAATTAGAAACCTCTGTTGAAGCATTTTAGCTCAATTACAGCTACAATCGTCAAGTAAGGTAAGATGCATGTATTTCTCCAAGCTAGTTTTAACATTGGACTTTTTAAGTTAAGAGAGGATGTTATAGGGGTTGAAGCTGCCCCTACTGTAATGGCAAAAATCAGAGCCAATGTTGCTATGAGCTTTCTGCAAAAACTTCTCTTTTCCTGTACTTTTTAATATGAATTGTCTAGGTTCACATCTCCTGATTTGTTGAAATACGAGATAGAAAGGTTTAATCTCTCATCAATAGGGATTATTAATTGTGAAATACTTTGGTTTCTCTCTGGAGACTTATGATAAGCCATTAATGCCAAGAATTTAAATTAAAAGCTTTATAGTTCTTAAGAAATTAAATTTAATTATCTCCAAACTTAAAAGTTAATAGATCTTGCTAATTGTTTTCTTTATTTCCTTTATCTTAATTTATATTTTACCAAACCTTTTACATACGGGGTTTTGGGGTTTTGGGGTTTTGGGG